TTTATTCACGCTACACGCTTTTTTTCTTTCAGTTTCGCGAGCGAGGCGTGGCGCACGGCATTATGGGAAGCTTGGACGTCGGCATCACGACGACGATGGTACCCCGCGGACAACTCCACTGAACTGATCCTATTCCGCTGGTAATTTAAGCATTTGTACACGACAGAGCATCGTTTGCCATTCAAGATATTTCCTGATATATTCCATATCTTTTGTATATCCTATATTCCTGATTCTTCATAGATATACGTGGGAACGTACGTGGGACACGGTTGTATTTTTGTAAAACCAGGTATCGACCATTAAAATATCAATTAATTGGAATTAAAAGGTTGCACTTGTGTGACTGCAGTCAGTTATGTCACCAACAGACAGGGGCAACAACAGCTTATGGGAAAGGTCATTTCAAAGCTTTATGTCATATGTAGTTGAGTCGTATATCGACCAAAAATGTCAGGCGATCAAATCAAGTAAAGTCTTGTAGGATCGGAGAGGATTTGAGGGGATTTTTCTCTTACATTCATCCTCTTAATGCCGTCGGAAAAAATGGACAAAGACGTCTAGTTTCTATGGAAACGCATTTCGTAGTTTTTTTGCGGCATAAGACACATGTATTACGTTGTGATAGGATAACAAAACAGCAACGAAACAACATCAGTACCGATCATAACTATCCCCCCTTTGAATTTTCTCTTTCTTTCCGTTTTCCCGAAGTTATTCCGGCGTATTTATTTCCGGCGTATTTAAGCGACTAAATAGGACTCGCAGGAGTAGTCGAGAGAAAAAGTAAAATTCTGATTTTGCGTACACGATCGCTAACTCAACTGGAATAGCAACAACAGAGCGCCCGACAGCGCATGCATATTTTATATACACACACACACATATCCATATATATATGTATATATATAGCATTAAATATTAACGGTGAGAAGCCGCAGCATTTTCACGCGAAGCCTTACCACTTCCACGCATCTGCAATCCTTCGTAAAACGCAAAACACAAAAACACGCGATGGCAACGTCGATTCCCCGCACAGCGTCTGCGAGCAAAAATGAAATCGGCAAACAGACCCATACTGACTCCGTGGTCATTCGATCCCCCAACTATATAGGCGCCATCATCAGTAGCACATGGCCAATATCGCTTCTTTCGGCACCAGTCGCTCATCGCCACGTCGCCCCACTATATGCGGTTCCACGCTTCGCCACAGCTACACGAAACTGTTTAGTAGTCGTGTACGTACGCGAGCCTGCCTGCGCGCAGCAAGCATATAGTCAATGGCAGAGCTGGAATAGGGCCACGACACGGGATTTGCGCATACGAGAGGTTACTGCCACTACAAGATCTTCGTGTATCGTACGTAGCTCTCCGTGTCTGGTGGGCGGGAGATGTTTGCTTCGGCGACGGTGATGTTAAATACTCGTGGAAACGTTTGCTGAATGGCAGACGATAGTTGTGTTATATATATATATATATATATATAGGGAGAGAAAGAGAGAGAGAGAAAGAGAGAGAGAGAGAGAGAGAGAGAGAGAGAGAGAGAGAGAGAGAGAGAGAGAGAGAGAGAG